CCTATGATGGTTTCAAGTTCATGGCAGACAGGTTGAAAAGTACGATTTTTTATTAATAATTTACGTTATTTCAATAAAGCTGCAATTTATATATATTGTTGATAATATTATTTGACATGTATAATTTTCAGCAGACATATTGTGGTTGTATCACCCAGGTAGACAACAAACTTTGGGGCGTCCATAAGCGTGTACTATAATAGCGCTCGCTCTAATACAGCCGTCAAATCAATTTAAAAAAGAAATCATATTAATTGAAAGTAAATACGATCGTTTCATATTGATTGCAGTTAATAATAATTACGGGTTATAAAATAAATAATTGTCGAATAGCCACACAATAGCATACAATAATTTAGTTGTTTATGTTTTCTTGTTATGATGTCATAATAATATTAATTTATTCATCAAAATGTTTATTACTCATTGTATTAAAAACTCAATAATTTTAAGAATATTCATGTCATATTATTCTTGGCTATCGGAGTCGTATCCTTCAGGTTCATCGTCAGATGCATCAATTCCATCGAAATCTACATTCATCATCATCAACATTCATATCAGTCATCATCAGACGGAATTATTTCTGCAAATAATAAGTTTCAATTTTTAAATCAAGCCAATTATAATAAAATAAATAATTTAAAAGTATAAATTCTTATAAAAGAAAATTACCTTGTTGATCTGCGACTAATTCGTTCACAAAACTGGCAACTGATTTCCGTCAAACCATCTAAATATATACGTATCATTTTCTTCAATCCAGCCGTGCTCCAGTGGATCTAATAATACTGGCTATTTTTGTGCGCATTTTTCCGAATGCTGAAAATATAATGCGCACGTAAAACTTGCTGATACAGCTCACGTTTACACGGTGGTAAAGAGCTTCCATCAAAACTGTAATTTCTTACAAAATTTTTATTCAGATCTTTTAGTCTATAAATATTTATAAAAAGATGGAATCTGCCATCATCTACATCTACTGATTTCTTTGCATTATATATTTGTGCGGGACAAGAGAAAAACAAATAGTGATACATAAATAAGATAAAAACATTTATATTAATAGAGATTATAGTTTAGATAGGATATAAGCATTTTATGTTAAGAAAATAATAGTGTAGAGCTTATATTTGTGTAATAAAATTAGTTGGTCACTTTGTATAACAGAACTAGCTTAAGGTAAACAATGTAAACAATGACTCAGTAAGATATAGAACTAGCTTAAGACAAACAATGTAACGGGACTCAGCATCGTCACTTGCTCTGTCACGCCTCGCGCTGATTGGTCGACGCCATTTGTACGATGCGTCGGCCGTATCCATTGACCCAGCCCGAGGCGGTATAAAAGAAGGGCGATTTTCGTCGTTCGACACAGTCGGCGGCCAGCTACCTCAAGGAAAACACCAAATATAGAAGAAAGAAAAATATCGCAGCGGTTTTATTCTCCACCAATCCAGCACACAAATGTGCCTGTAGGGCACATTTAATGGTCCTTCGCCAGCCGAATCTTGTGGGGAATAATTACCTGAAGAAAAATAATTAAGAAGACTCCTCGGAAATCGTTTTTCAAGAATCAAGATTATTCGAAGAAAAAGTCAGCTGACAGCATGGCCGTTACGCGCTCTGAGGGAAGGGGCAGCAAGCCGTCGTCGTCCAAGGCTACCACCTCGGCGACCGGTACCACCAGTGCGGAAGCCAGTACGGAATCAACAGCTACAGGGACGACCGCCACGGAGACTTCGGAGTATACAGACACCTCCGCGGCGACTGATCCATCCACCGTGACTTCCGCCACCGCAGCGACCACTTCGTCCGCCGCCACCTCAGCCTCAGCCGCAACCGCCGCCCCCGCCACGCACCCCGCCAGCGCCGTCGCTCCTTCCGTAACACCATCCGCGGCGACGACACTAACTGCGGGTGCGAAGGCCAAACAGCTGATGAAGCCGCCCGCTACTGTCACCAGAGCAACTCACCGAGAAACAGAAACTTCTACAGTGAAGCGAGCCATAAGAAGCACCGCCGGTCCATCAAAGCAAACCGGGCTACAGGAACCCCGCCCGCCCAGCAAGAAGGGAGGTGGAGGGGGATCTACACGCAGTAGAACGAAGCAGCTCAAGCTTGCAAAGGCGAAAGAAGATTTACTACGCCTTCAAGTGGAATTAGCCGCAGCACGCCTTGCTGCCTTAGAAAGGGAAGACTCAGAAGAGGAGGAGGAAGAAGAAGATGACGCATCCCTCTACTCAAGATCAGAAGTCAATACAAGAGTGGACGACTGGTGGGAGAATCAAGTGAATCGCCCGGTTTTAGCAATCACCAACGAACCTCACCATGCCATAGAAGAACCAACAGCCGCCCACGCAGAAGAACCAAGGCACGAAGAAACACATCAGTCACCGGCGGGAGGTCAAACTGACGTAGCCCTCCTGGCTGAAGCCATCACTCGGGCTGTCAGCGCCGCCCAACAACCTAAGTTCGTCGAGTTACCATTCTTCAGCGGGTCTCATCAGGAATGGCTACCCTTTCGCGCCGCCTACTACGAGACAGAAGCGACATTCAGCGTAGTTGAAAATACGAATCGACTCAGAAGAAACTTGAAAGGGAAGGCCAAGGAAGCAGTTGAAGGCCTACTTATGACCAACGCACACCCGGCTGAAGTAATGAAGACTTTGGAGTCAAGATTTGGAAGACCAGAGTCAATAGCCATGCTGGAGATGGAGACGCTTAGAAGTCTGCCGCGCCTTACTGAGTCACCAAGAGACATATGCATATTCGCCACCAAGATCTCCAACGTAGTGGCGACACTGAAGACTTTGGGTTGTTTTAACTACATGTACAATCCCGAACTCGCGAAGACAATAGTAGACAAACTGACGCCAACTCTGCGTTATAGGTACTACGACTTCTCAGCCATGCAGCCACGTGAAGACCCTTGCCTCATCAAGATAGAGAAGTTCTTCAAAAGGGAAGCAGAACTGTGTGGACCCTACGCGCTGCCCGAACAGATGACACCGCCTATTACAGCCGCACCACAAAGGAAGACTCAAAGGATCAACAACGTGACTGAGAAGACATACATACCAAGATGCGTCGTATGTGAAGATACGGGGCACACCAACGCCACAGAATGTGAACAATTCAAGAAGTTAGATGCAAATGCAAGATGGGACATGGCCAAGTCCAAGCGCCTCTGCTTCAGGTGTCTTCGCTATAGGAATAAGACACACCACTGCCGACCCAAGCCATGTAATGTCAACAGCTGCAAGTACTCTCACCACAAGATGTTGCATTACGAAAAGAAGTCAGAAGATTCAGAAGCAAAAGAAAATCAAGGGGCAACAGAGGTCATCAACTCAACCTGGACCGTCAAGAAGCAATCATACTTAAAAATCCTACCGATCCAGGTCAAAGGACCAAAAGGAGCTGTCAACACCTTCGCGTTGATGGACGACGGCTCAACAGTCACGCTCGTCGACGATAGTATAGTAACAAGCGTCGGAGCAACGGGCCCCATAGACCCACTGAAGATAGAAACCATCAACGACAAGAAAGTATCGGAGTCAGCATCGAGGAGAGTCACCATCAAACTAAAGGGGCTCAACGATCATGAAGAACAAATACAAGCACGCACAGTGAAGAACCTGCAAGTCTCATCTCAACGGGTCGCACAGGATCTAGTGGAGGAGTGTCAACACCTCTCTGATATCCAAGGACATCTCACATATGCAAACGCCAAGCCACGAGTGCTGATCGGACAAGATAACTGGCATCTTCTGCTGACATCGGAAGTCAGAAAAGGAGACAAGAACCACCCAGTGGCATCTCTCACGCCACTAGGTTGGGTACTCCACGGCAGCCAGACACGAAGCTTCGGACGGAACATCGATTTCGTGTCACACATCGTAGAAGATCCAGAGGAGAATCTAGAAGACCTCGTGAAGCGATACTTCGAGATGGACGCACTTTGTATAAAGCCCAAGAGAACGAAGACTGATCCAGAAGAACAAGCACTTCGTATCTTGGAAAGGACCACAACGAAGACAGAAGAAGGAAGATTCCAGACCGGTCTTCTCTGGCGCAAAGACGATGTCAAGTTACCAGACAATTACGAAAACTCGCTGTAGAGGCTCTTCAACATAGAAAAGAAGATCGATCGTGACCCCACGTTAAAGAAGAAATACGTGGAACAAATGAACGCTCTCGTCGCAAAGGGGTACGCCGAACCCGCCCCAAAACAGAAGACAGCTGACAAAACTTGGTACCTACCTCACTTTGCAGTAGTCAACCCAATGAAACCGGAGAAATTACGGGTGGTACACGATGCCGCAGCCAAGACCAAAGGGGTGGCACTTAATGACATGCTACTCAAAGGGCCCGACCTACTACAATCGCTACCAGGTGTCGTCATGCGCTTCCGACAACACATGATCGCGGTTACGGCGGACATCAAAGAGATGTTCATGCAAGTCAAGTTGCGAGAACAAGACAGGGACGCACTGCGGTACCTATGGCGTGGGATTCGACGAGACAACCAACCTCCGGAAGAGTAAAGAATGACATCATTAATTTTCGGAGCATCGAGTTCGCCTTCGACAGCAATATACGTCAAGAACCTAAACGCCAAACAGCACGGGGAAACTCACCCAGGGGCCGCAGCGGCCAACATAATGAAGCATTACGTCGACGACTACTTGGACAGCTTCAGAACCCTCGAAGATGCCAAACGCATCACGAAGAGTGTACCAGCCGTGCACATGAAAGCCAGCTTCGAGTTGAAACAGTGGAAATCAAACTCAGCATCACTCCTAGAAACACTTGGAGAAGACAGCCAGACAGAAGACATGGAACTCTACAAAACAGAAGAAAAGATGGAACGAGTTCTGGGTGTTGTTTGGAAGATCCACTCGGACGAACTCACCTTCAACCTCAACTTAGCCAGAATACCCTCAACACTCCTAGAAGGGAAGCAGCCGACGAAAAGGGAAGCACTGAGAATAGTGATGTCGCTCTTCGACCCGCTCGGATTCGCCTCGCCTATCACCATCAGGACAAAACAACTCCTCCAGGAAGTCTGGCGTAGAGGAACAGCATGGGACGACAAGATCGACGAAGACCTGGCAGAGCAGTGGAAAATGTGGATGGAGCATCTGGAAGGCCTCCACGAAATAGCAATCCCGCGACAATATCTTCACTACAGTGACGCGGCCTCCCTAGAACTCCACGTCTTCAGCGATGCCAGCGAGTCAGCTTATTCTGCGGTCCTCTTTTGGAGAGCTGTAACAGCAGTAGGCGAGGTCCACCTATCCCTTATTGTGGCGAAAGCAAAGGTGGCACCGTTAAAACTGACGTCCATCCCAAGATTGGAGCTACAGGCAGCAGTCATGGGCACCAGGCTCGCAGAAACAGTAGTCGAAGAACACGAGAGGAAACCTGACCGCAAAGTATTCTGGACAAACAGCAAGACAGTATTAACCTGGATAAGGACAGGGTCACGTTCATATAAGCCCTACGTGGCTCACCGTCTAGCAGCAATAGAAGAGAGTTCCAAAGTTAACGACTGGCGCTGGGTTCCGACAAAGCTGAACGTGGCGGACGACGCCACACGAGACGTACCAGCAGCATTTAATAAAGAACATCGATGGTTCAAAGGGCCTGACTTCTTATACCTAACAGAAGACTTCTGGCCGACAGAAACCACAAGAGCAACAGCGGAAGAACCTTCCGACGAAGAAAGGACACATTACGTGAGCAACAAAAGAAGATTGAGGCTTGCCGAAGGTCTACCTGATCCAGCGAAGTTCTCCAACTGGGACCGACTCCGATACTCAACAGCACGTGTTCTACAGTTCATTCAACTCTGCAGAAACACCAAACAGAGAGTCAACTACAAACGAACAAAGAAGAATAAAGAGGCTGATCCCACTTGGAAAAAGAACAAAGCTACAGTGAAATATCAGGCGCACATGACGACAAAGAAGCGGTCGCCAGAAGACATAAAGCCGCTAATGGTCTCAGCCGAGCTGCTTAAGACAGCTGAAGAGCTTCTGATGCGATCCTCCCAAGAAGAATCCTTTGCGGAAGAAATAGACAGCCTAAACAGCGGGAAGCCTTCGCCAGCTCAGCGTCGAGTCAATAAACGGCACACTACGACTTATAAGTCGTATTCGAGCAGTCTGCGACATGGAGGAAAAATTCAAGAACCCGTTGATAATTGACGGTGATCATCACACAGTCAAGCTCTGGGTGCAGGCTATACATCGGCAACTCCATCACGCCGGTGTAGAAGCCACAGTTAACGAGTGCCGGCAGCAGTATTGGGTACTGAGACTGCGCCCTATCGTACGCACAATACTACGAAAATGCCTATTCTGCAGAATAAAGACGCAAGTACCGCCGCATCCGAGAACCGGGGACCTGCCAACGTGTCGCTTAGCTCACCACAAGCGCCCCTTCACCTACACCGGGGTGGACTATTTCGGACCTCTTTCGGTGACCGTCGGACGAACTCGACAAAAGAGATATGTGGCCATTTTTACATGTCTCACTACGCGAGCCATACATCTAGAAGTTGCCGGCTCACTTAGCGCTGACTCCGCGGTAATGGCCATAAGGCGGATGATCGCACGGCGAGGCTGCCCGACAGAAATATGGTCAGACAACGGCACCAACCTGAAGGCAGCCGATAAGGAACTACGACAGGCGGTCGACGCAGCGACCGCAGAAGAAGCAGCAATATCTCCTGGCGCTACATCCCGCCTGGAGCTCCATTTATGGGCGGAGCCTGGGAGCGAATGGTTCGCTCCGTCAAGACCGCTCTTATCGCGACGTTGCACGAACGTCATCCGACGGAGGAAGTCCTCACGACACTACTGGTAGAAGTGGAATACACCGTCAACAGCCGACCGCTGACTCACGTCTCAGTCAGTCCAGAGGATCCCGAAGCTCTCACTCCTAACCACTTCTTGTTAGGAGGACCGAGACGAGTACCACAGCTAGGCACTTTCACCGAACGAGACGCCCTCTCACGGTCAAGTTGGCGAGCTGCACAGAGGCTAGCCGACACCTTCTGGTTACGCTGGGTGAAGGAGTACCTCCCTGAGCTTCAACACCGGCGGGAGCCCCACGGACAAGGCCAAGCAGCACGCGTCGACGACCTCGTACAGATCGTCGATCCCAACCTGCCTCGCAACGTGTGGATACGAGGAAGAGTCATCGCTACATATCCGGGTCCCGACAACGTCGTGCGGACTGTGGACGTGCTAACTAAGGGAGGTGTCCTACGCCGGCCAGTAAGGAAGCTTGTGATCCTGCCTCTATCTACGGACGTCGAGCCCGCACCGGAAGCTGATGCGACGCGGTCGCACGGCGGGAGTGATGTGCGGGACAAGAGAAAAACAAATAGTGATACATAAATAAGACAAAAACATTTATATTAATAGAGATTATAGTTTAGATAGGATATAAGCATTTTATGTTAAGAAAATAATAGTGTAGAGCTTATATTTGTGTAATAAAATTAGTTGGTCACTTTGTATAACAGAACTAGCTTAAGGTAAACAATGTAAACAATGACTCAGTAAGATATAGAACTAGCTTAAGACAAACAATGTAACGGGACTCAGCATCGTCACTTGCTCTGTCACGCCTCGCGCTGATTGGTCGACGCCATTTGTACGATGCGTCGGCCGTATCCATTGACCCAGCCCGAGGCGGTATAAAAGAAGGGCGATTTTCGTCGTTCGACACAGTCGGCGGCCAGCTACCTCAAGGAAAACACCAAATATAGAAGAAAGAAAAATATCGCAGCGGTTTTATTCTCCACCAATCCAGCACACAAATGTGCCTGTAGGGCACAATATTTGACAGGTAAACTTTTGGACAACATTAAAAAGCTGTTGTTTTGGTTTCCAGCAAAATTGAAAATAATAATATATATCCCTCATAATTGACCGCCTTTAGTTATTAGGGATTGAATTTTCTCCGAACCTAAACTATGGGCGGTTCATTGAGTCCAGAGCCAAAGCAGCCGTAAGGAAACTTGGTGTCCTTGCAAGGGTGCGGCGGTACTTCACGCCGGGGCAGCTTCTTACCTTACATAAAGTGCAAGTCCGGTCGTGCATGGAGTACTGCTGTGACATATGGCCTGGTGCTCCAAAATGCCACTTGGCAGCATTGGACTTAGTGGAGAGACGTGCTAAGAGGCTCATTAGTGACCTTGATTTGGTTGAATCCAATCTTGTCAGCCTCGAGCACAGGCGCAGAGTAGCCACTCTCTCGGTATTCTATAGGATGCATTTCGGTGAGTGTGCGCAGGATTTTTTTTTATAGAATTGGGGTGACAAACGAGCACACAGTCAACCTGATGGTAAGTGGTTGCTGTGGCCCATAGACATCTGCATCTATCCTCGTTTGTGAATTAAAATGCAGATGCGTTGTCAGCCTTGAGGACTAAGATAGAATGCCTCTTTTCCAGTAAAATGGGTCTCCGGTTCTCTACACTCACCATACGAAACATAGCAGCATTAAGCTTCTATTTTACGCTGGTATAATTACACGCTTTAATTCCTCCCTCTCCTTTCCACCATCGGACAACCAGGCGGTCGGCGGGTCTTCATCCCTTTGTGTCGATATTCCATGCATTAGAACCAAAAGGTTTGCTTCGTCTTTTGTAATGCGTACAGCAAAGGAGTGGAATAATTTGCCGGCGTCTATCTTTCCGTCCGAATACAATCTGGGCGTCTTCAAGGTAAGCGTGAATAGACTTTTGTTACGATAAGACAGTGCGATTTACCATCTAAGGCTGCATCACCACTTACCACCAGGTGGGATTGTGGTCAAGCACTGGCTTATAATCTGTAAAAAAAACCAAAAGCTGGCTTCTTGGTATGCCTGAGTTTTCTGGAGTAAGGTAAATAGTCGTTTTTCGTAAATGCATAAATACCAAACAAGCTTACACTAAATAAATCACCACGTTGCTCATATTTTTTTTAAATATTTATGAACCGTTTTAAATGAATTTATGAATTGTTCTTTTTTTGTTGTTATGAGTAAAACAAATTTCATACATGATGTTATCCATTAACCAAACCTAGAAAGAAAAAGACTGTATTAGAGCGAGCGCTATTATACTACGCGCTTATGGACACCCCAAAGTTTGTTGTCTGCCTGGGTGATACAACCACAATATGTGTCTGCCGTGAAAATTATACATGTCAAATAATATAATCAACAATATATATAAATTGCAGCTTTATTGAAATAACGTAAATTATTAATAAAAAATCGTACTTTTCAACCTGTCTGCCATGAACTTGAAACCATCATAGGTGTCTGCCAATGTTATTTTTCGGTAACTATTATTAAATATTTCAAGATGTCAAAGCGGCAGACTTATTGCTATAACGTTTTTTGGGTAATTTTTTACATCTTTGATACCTGAGCGTCTCTATATCGACCGCCGTTCAAACTAAAGAGTCTCTGTTTCATGTACCTCAGGTATAGGGGATTAACTGAAAAAAAAGTGAAGCTTATTGAAATACCGTAAGTGCCGCTCACTGGCTCTTAAGCTATAGAGACGATATTGATATGAAAATCCTACTAGATGGAGTGGGACTAGTATTTTGTGGCAATTTATTGGGAGGCTTATGGATCAGCAGTGGACTTGTGGTAGGGTTGTAGTAATAGTAGTAACACCAAGCACCAAAACAAATTATGTGCTGTGCTTGGTGAGCTTTTCCACTGTTGACGCTTTTTTATAAACCAACAGTGTATTTAAAAGGCTGAAGAGGAAGACTAAACGATTTCTAATATGTAGGTATTTTCACCCTTAAAAGACAAAGGGACGCTTTTGACAGGGATGATGCGGGTCTCTGGTTCGAATCCCGCGGTACAAGTATATGCGTGGCCTGAAACAATTTTTCTTGGTTGAAATTTATGAATATGTAAAATATCTGCACATTACAGGAGACGTTATTAGTGTTGTGATACGCTAAAAGCAAATACTTTATTAAATTATACAAAAACGTGCTAACAGCCTACCAAATAAAATAAATTATTTAAATACAAAAATATTTTATTACTTTTAAGAATTTTGGCAACGGTACGCAGCCCAATTCTATCACAATTACCATTATATTTTTCATTCACAAAGGGAAAAGAAGAAAACATATTTTACATAATTATGAGATGAAAGCACATCAAAGTTAAATTCTAATGTTGCTTCATTTTGAAATCAAGGTATTTTCCTACGGAGTAATTTTTCAATTTATATTTAAGGTTTATAAATTAGCAGCATTTAATTATTTGGCAATAATAACATAGAAAATACTGTTATTTCAAGCATATGAAATAATAACAATTTTTCAAACAACCTTAATGATTTTAACTCTAGATACCCAATTTTTTATCAATAACAACGAGGCTGTACTTTATATTGAAGGGTCCGCAGAGGCTAAGGATTGCGATGCGGCATTAAGGTCCGCGGGTTCGGATCCCTCACGGAACAAGTATTTGTATTACCTACAAAATAATGTTCAGGGTCTGGATGTTTGTCCAAGTTCAATTCAAGTTCGTAAACTGCCTCTTCGATACAGGAGAAAATGCTTATGTGTGGGCATATTTTCAGTCTAATAGCTGCTTTTAACGTTTAAAAAATAAAAAGAAACTGTGTTGAGGCAACACAACGGTCGCTATTACTTTAAAATAATTATAACTGAGAAAATTTACTAGTATTTGTAGTGACATGAATAAACCAAACTTTGTAAAAAAATACGGTTAGAAAAGTTTATAATATGAGCTATAGGTTAAAGGAAAACAACATTATCCTTAAAAAACGCATGAAGATTGCTGTCACCCATCAAGGACACCGTTCAGAACATACTGGAAAAAAATTGTAAAATAAGTTTGAAATTATCTTATTGTAAAACCCCCATGAGGCAATCTATGAGGGAGGCCTAAGTTCAGCAGTGGATCTTTATTGGCTGTAATGGATGAATAAGTTTGGAAAGAATCCAAATTAAAGATTGAGATGTACTAATAGCATGATCGTTTGCTATAAACAATCTAATAATTTATGCTAAACATTTGTCTAAACTCACCATACAGAACACAGTAGCATTACGATTCTATTTTACACTGGTATTTTGTGTAAGTTATCGTGTAGTGGCATTGTAAGAATATTCACAACCTCATATTATCCAGTGGGTATCCTAAGAGGCGACAGAGGGAAACAAATCAGGAGATGGAAAACAGCGTCTTCCTAATAACAACTAAAAATAAAAGAGGCGGTTATCAACCCTCTCACCAAGCGTGGCAACAATGGCAAAATCTCTCATAAGGCAATTTATGGGAGAGGTTTATGTTCAGCAGTGTACTTTTATAGACCGTAATGGATGAATGGATAATAAATATTTTTGGAGTTTTATATAAGGGTAGCGTCTTTTTTATCCATTTTAAGTATATCAGCGTTCCGCATCGCATATTCAGTGCTGTGAATTTATTAAATCGTAGTGATTACCTTATATGTGGGTAAAGCATTTTCATCGTGCGAGTTATCACTGACATGTTCCAAGAGTAATAAAACGGATTTCTATTTTCATATTTTCCCGCTTTTATATAAAAAACGTATTCCCCGTTAATGTACTAGCCATTTCTTTGCTAGTGTATTATCTATGGCAATAATTTTTACTAGGCGAAACCGTAAGCAGTCATTTGTGTGTCAGGTAAACATATAATTAATAATCGCTTTAGCTTTAACTCCAATTTACCTCTGTTTGGCTTGATTTCCAATACAGGCTATAAAAGTCCATCGCTGAACACAGGTATCTCCCATATGTTGCCTCATAGGGGGGATAATGTCACGGTAGCCAAGCTTGACAAACGAGTAGGTAGCCGCAGTTTTTTATAATTTTGAGCCGTTATCAGGAAGATGTTGCTGCCAATTTTCTGTTTCAGCTTCCTTCTATCGCCTCTTACGATACCCACGGAATACTATGTATAGTGGATTCTCGTACGTCGCCACTACACTGCTCATAAATTATTGATTTCATATTTATTTCCCATATATTCAATGTTTGTGTAGGTTTGTTAGCATAATATAACACACGCACGCACGCACGCACGCACATACGTACGCACACACGCACTCATGTACGCACGCACGCACGCACACGCACTTGCACTCACACACACACACACACACACACACACACACACACACACACACACACACACACACACACACACACAATTATAAAATGCAGTGATCCCCCAGAGGACTAAGATAAAACATCTAGTTACCAGTTAAAAGGGTTTTCCGGTTCTCGTTACTTACCATGGCAAACACAGCAACAATATGCTGCTATTTTACGCTTGTTTTATGTGAGAACGTGGTCCTTTCCGGTCCAGCCGACCC